ACTCGATGTGCGTGTCAAAAGGGGAGCAGATGTGGGAAGCGATCATCACCTTGTAGTTGCTCTACTACGACTTAAACTCAAAAAAGTTTACACGCAAGTTAAGACACAGACAGCACGTTACAATGTTAACCTTTTAAAAGAAAAAGACATTGCCACTAAATTTATAGTAGAACTCAAGAAAGAACTATTCTAATGTTATTTTTAATGTCTTTTTGTCATTCTTTCATTGTGTTTATTACTGTCCACCTTATTTTTAATTTTAATTTTGTTTCTTTCTTAACCTACAACTATTACAACCATCACAGAAAACCCTATTCTGCCTATTTGTATTAGCTACTTTTTTTCTTAAAATTTAGCAGCTAGCAATAGTTTACAGTATATTACTATCTTGTTTTAGATTTTATTTTAAACTATGGCTGCTAGCAATAGTTCAGAGTATATCAACAGTCTTGTTTTCAACATTTTTCTTATCCTTCCCGCGAACAGTTTTTGTTTTGGTATTTCTGTATGTGCTTATGACATATGCCCTGTTTCTATGTTGTTTTCTCTTGAACATTATGACAGTTGACACAAAGAGTGTTATTTAATCCAGACTTGAGTTCCCTAGTCTGAACTCCTTTGTCCCAGTGTGGGTCCCAGGACCCCATTTGGGGGTTTGAGGGTGGTGTAGAGTAGACCTACTGCTTCCTCAAGAAGAATTTTATTAGAGGTGAATAATTAGGGGGTGTTTTTTCTTCAAAGTGGGTGATTCTTTTTTTGACTTGTTTTTTTAAAAAATTCTTTTAAAAAGCCTGTTTTTAATTTATGGTGCACAGGAGTTGCTTAGCCTCTATAAAAATTTGGTTGTAGTTTGAAAAAGATTGGAAACCGCTGACTAAGAGAAAAATCAAATGACTCACAGAGCATGTTGAGAAAGATGGAGACAAGCATGCTGTGAGCAGAATGGCATGCATCGGTTCAGTGGTCCTAGGTAGTTAGCATCCTTTGGATATTTTCCTTTGGTCAAGCCAGTGTATTAGGAAACAAGCAGGTAGATAGATTAGCCGGTTCTGCACTGCTTGGTGGTGAATTGATGCATGACCATATAGATGCTGTGAGGGCCCTTTGGGAGTGAGTGAACAGTACAGCGGCGCAAATAGATCATTACGGTCTGAGGAGAATGGCGCTGCTAGTAGTTAACCAAGGGATCAGGCTGGCATTCAACACTCAAGGAAAAGGCGAGATGGATTTACAATCAGTCAGTTACTGGTACCATCAAAACTGGAACTCTTCGCTTGCTGCTGAAGATGGGGACGGAGCTCTAATGGGAGAGTCCCAAATTAACCTCCTTCATGCTGAATAGTCGGCGTCTGTGCGTTAGGCATTGTGAACAAGCTTCCTAATGTTGGGATTCCGGGTTCGATCCCAGCTGCCAATGGTTTGTCTTGCGCTGTTTTTGAAGAATGCTCCACTTTTCAAGACCAGACAAGTGGAACATCTTGTACAGAGGAAAAGAACAGCTTGTGAAAACATGTAAATTCCAATACATGACATTGGACCAAAGGGCGAAAGTTCATGCGCCCTTGGATTGATAATAACAACTAAACTAGCATGTTGTAAATGTCACTACTTAAATATTTGCTTAAATTGAATGTGTTTAGGCAAAAAGTACAGATATTGCAGCCAAGCTGTAGCCCACAACACGATGTGCCAGATGCCCTTTTAAGTGCAACTGCAGTAGAAGTAGAATACGAGTATTGAAACAGTTTGTACCATAAAAATAAAAGTGCTCTGGCCCAAATTTAATCTCTTAGGCAACAATCCTTTATTTTTTCCTTATGCTTACAATTATCCTGTTTCCCCGTTTTCTTCCTAACTGATCCATTTTGATTGTGATTCCCATCCCCAGCCTGCATCCTCTAGTAACTTAAATTAAACACATTCTTTTTGACTCCTCAAGTCCCAAACAGTGCATGGTGAAATCAACCCATCAATTTGAATACCGGCCATTGTCATCATATGATTGGCACCTTTCTGTCTTTCCGGACAATAGTGTTATATTGCACTATGAGGAGGCATGAGACCCACAGCCCATGGCGATGGGGAGATGACTAGCAAGAACAGCCCGCATTAAAAAAAGTCTTCAACAATTATAGCGTGGGATTTCAGGACCATTGTTGTCATCCTTTATGTTTAGTGTGTTTCTACTCAGGTGCTAAGCTATCTTTCTTTCTACAATCATCTCTTTCTTTATTCTCATTTCCTTCCTGATGTGCTCCCTCCACATAACATGGTCCATGGTATTTTTTGTCAAAAACACTTTACCAGTAAACATAGGCAGGTCGTAGTTCACATTCTTATATGATCATGTCAGTGTCAGATCAAGTTTATTTCTTGTCCCTTCTATGCAATGTGGATAGAATCTTTGTTTTCTCATTTCTCTTTTCACATCTAAAGCATGATGGAGCATGTTTGTGCTGCCTTCGAGGCCGAGATAGGAGACATTGTAACCAAGCTCTCATGGGAATAATTTGTAGAAATATCTTGGAGTGGCTACTGCCTTGAAGGACTGAGCAGGTCTGGGAATGCTCAATGTGCAGTGGCGTCGGTTGTGATAGCATAACATAACTTCACATCTATACACAACCACTGCCTAATATATTCTTGTACTTTCTATATTTGGTCAGACTATACTTATTCCACATTTTCCTTAAAAAGGACGTTTGGCATGTTGTATTGTGGTTTACAGCTGGGCTGTGATTTTAGCCCAACATATCTAATTTCAACCTACCTCCTAGTTAGGCACCTTTTACAACGTGCTTGTTAGAGGGGCAGTGAGGCCCTCACCTCTTCCCCCCTTCCCCCACCCCCCCCCCTTTCCCCCCAAAAAAAATTTGGGCCACATAACCTACAGGAAAAGTCGGACCACACAAAAGTAATTCCCTCTTGAATGGCTCCTTCTGTTAGATTTTTTTTTTTTTTTAAAGTAATGCTCTCTTGAATTTTTATTGCAAAACTGTTTGGACTTCGAAGAGTTGGTCTAGCAATTTTCAAACCGCCACCTTCTACTTATTGTATGTGACAAGAGAGCGAAAGAGTTAACCCAGCGATCATCCAAATTGTCTTCTTCTACTTACTGACTGGAACAAGAAATGAAAGAGTTAACATAGCGGTTATTCAAACTGGAACCTCCTACTTTCTGCTTGTAACAAGTATTTATACATAAATATATTTAAATTATAGTAGCAAAAATTATAGTAAGTAATAGTCCAATTTTAATGCGTTTAGACATATAGGTATATGGTGATAGATCAGTTTCATTGTTAGACCATTCAACACTTGGTGAATATTGGGGCCAATTTCACTCCAGCCACCTTTACTTTCCATGAAATTTTCCTAGTACACATTTTAGGCTGTGTCAGCCTAGATCTTATGTCCGTTTAAACAATGTACCTTTATGGGGTTTAAAAACGAAAAACTGAACACCTTCAGAATACAGATATACTTGTTGTTTTAATTTTTATTTAATGTCTCTTTTAGTTTGCTTTGAATTAATATAAATTTAATGTGCTTTCTTTTAACATCCTTTCTACAATAAATATTTGTTGTACTGAACAACAGCTCAACATTGTCTGATAGTAGTTTTAACCATTTGCTGTTGATTTTCCTTCAACATTGTTTAACATTTCTGCATCTAATACAGACAAGTGAATGTTGTTATTTGTTTGTTTGTTTGTTTGTGTCCCTCATGCATGTGGCATGAAAGAGACAGGGAAGAAGATGAAATGATGACTGTGTCATACAACAGTTTAAGAGCATTGTGTTGTAAATTTAGACTAGTTACTTTAATACTAATGAAGGAAATGTAATTATAGTGGTTTGTAGTAAGTTTATCGTATTAGTTTACACAGATATTCATGGGTATTTTGCACATACATTTCCAATGGCTTTATGGGGAAACTAAGCCAGTATAGGCCTTCCCTGTGTGTTACCTAGTTGTAATGAGGGGTTATGTTTATAAGGCTAAGTGATTTTTGTTTTCTTGTTTGATATCCTATTTTTGCCTCTATGCATTTATGCTGATGAAGGGTTTCTAGCCAGTGAACATTTTGTCATTAGTGGTTGCAATATTGTGAAACTGGCTTGCTGTATTCTTGTTTGGATTAAAAATTTTTTTTCATATTGATCTACTTTAGTAATCCCACCATAATAATAATGGCATCTGTCAGTCTCTGGAGACTATGGAGATGTGCCGCTGGCTTTGGGAACAGCATCTGCTGTGAATGTGAAGTCCCATGTGGGAGTGGCAGTATCTGCCACACAGGATACACAAACAAGTAGATACTCCCTCGCTGTGAGGCTAATTTTCTCTCTGGCATCTTTTCTCTATGGATCGCTGCGTTTGGTTTATGACAAAATGCGACAATCTGTCTTTCACTTTCTGTTGCCATAATAGTCGATCAGCAGCTGTTTTTTTACTGAGTCTCTATGCCTGTGTTGGTATCTGTCAGGTCACGTTTGCGGATGTCTTTATAAAGTAACTTTGGCTTTCCTGTAGGTCTGTTCCCTGTTTCCAGTTCACCATATTGGAGATACTTTGGAATACAACCATCATCCGTGCGAGAGACATGTCCCAGCCAGCACAGACGTCTCTGCTTCAGTAAACTGTACATTGATGGTATTTTTGCTCTTGTGAGTACACATTTGTTGGAGACAAGGTCTTGCTATGATATAGTGAGGATGCGCCTCATACAGCACATGTGGAAGGTATTCAGTCTCTTTTCTCGAGGAGCATATAGAGTCCAGAACTGGCTACCTACCATACAGTAGCATGCTCAAGATACGACTCATAAATTTTCATCCCACCGTTGATTACATTTATCTAATCTTTTTTATTTTTAATGCTCTTCTACTTCCACTGCTGATATACTACTAAAAAAAATGTGTATTGTTGCTTTTACTTTGCCTAAATTTTTGTATACCTGCTGATTTTGATTTATCGTTTTACATGTAACTTTCAGAACAGATAGCGCTGGCCTTGCAGAAGTACCACAATGAACATGAACTCACCGTCACTGCTGATGACCCGGACGAGAGCGTCTTTGACACCATCACCAGTCTCATGGGAAATAACATTGCCCGCATGGCCCGCAAGTTGACAGTGGCCAGCAACACCAGCAGTGGACACAGCAGCGAGGCTGAGGACAATGTCACTGACTCAAAGAAAGGCATTGGTCTCAGCAACAACGGGGTGGTCAATCACAGCAGCTCTGCTCCCTTGTTAAATGAAGGTGTAAGGGAAAAGGACTTGGGAGGAGGTGGAGATGAAGGTGATAAGGAGGAGAAGACAGAGGATGAGCAGAGTATGTCTGATGATGACAAGCTGGGAGGTGAGTATCAGCATTTGATTCTTCTTCTTCTTTTTTTTTTTTTTGTTGTCACCCAGTTACCAGCTTATGATACAGTGAAGATACTATGAAAGGAAATTATGATACGCACTGGCAAACCAACAACATTCTTTAAATGCCTTAACAAAATAGAGAGCTTCAAGTAAAACAGCTTTAAGACCAAACCATAAATTTTCATTTCCAAGGTTATTTAAGTTTTAACATATGTCAAATGACAGACAAAGAAGGTGGGCTCTGGAGAAGCACTAAAATGGGAAACAAATGGTTTGAGAGAGAAAAGACATCCAAGGGAAACATTAAGGAGAAACATTATTACAAGAGGCAAAAAATACTGACCTGAACTCCATGTCAGAAATCTAGAGAGTTGCATGCAATAGAGCGGAGTAGAGGAATCTAATGCGAGCCCTATGTGACATCTAACGCCACACACAGGATGATGTATCTCAGAGTTATGATTTTTTGTATTGTCTTATTATTCTCAGGTGGCTTGGGTAATGTATTTGTTTATCTTTCTGCAGGATTCAGCTACACTATCTACCCATCTCTTCCTTGGACTTCCTCTCGCCTTCCATCTGGTTGTTCTGTTGCAGAAGCTCTCGTATATAGTTTTATCTGGCTGAATTCATACCAAGTGACCAAACCTCATTCTGTGTCTTTCAGTGTAACTGAGGCACTGTCTTATTTCAGTCTTCTCTCTAATGCTAGTATTCGTGACCCTATCCCTTCTAATGTTGTTGATGACCTTTAGGAGACTGCCTATTTAATATTTTTTTATTTCCTGAGCGTATGATGATTAAATCCTTATTCGTACATGCAAGTAAAAGTAAACAAATCATCATGAAACAGTTATAAAGTGACCTGTAGTCCAGCATGGGTCAGTGTTTGAGTCTGAATAAGTTCAAATAACACTGAGTCAGAAGAAGCTAAGCTTACAGTCTTGGTAAATTGAGTTAAGAACCAATATCATAGCAATTGGGACCTTCCTAAAAGTGTTCCATCCCCATCTTTAGCAGTCAGTGCAAATTCAGCTTCCAATGTTACCAGGAGAAATCTGCCATCTTTTTCTCAATGGTGAGTCTTGGCCAGATCTCTTAGTCACGCATCCTGCCACAATCTCTTTAGGCTGAGATGATCTGTTTGGTATGAATTAATGTAATTGTAGATTTTAAGTAGTAAATTTTAATTAAACCAAATGAATTATAGACAGCTTATTCATTCTAATATTGAACTACCAGTGCCAAACATGGACACTATCTAAAGCCAATGTACATAAAATCATCACGTGCGAGGTGAGACACCTGAGAAAAGCCGCCAATTTAACCATTCGATATTGAGCAAATAATGAAACTGTCAGACATATTGTAGGAACAACACATTGCACTAGATTCATCGAGGAACAGCAGATCATGTGGTTTGGTCATCTCGTTAGAATGCAGCAAGATCAGATACCATCACAAGCACAAAATCTCAGAAGATCAGCTACAAGAGCAAGAGGACAGCCACACAAAAAATGGACTGAGAACATTAAAGACACCTTACGCCTTCATGATATGACAATAGCCAGTGGCAGCCAGCATGCACTGGATCTCAAATTATTCCTCCCCACAACGCTTAATGGCAGAAGTGGTTTATGATGATGATGATGATGATGAATGTATGGTAAGTTTGGTACTGAAAGAGTTAATGAGATCTTCGTGTAAAATACAGGGCCATTGAGAATGATTGCTGTGATTTTCAACTGTCATTTTAAAAAGTTTAAAAAAAAAGAAAAGACAAGAAAAGGACCCTTTTTCATGCCTTTAGGTGTGTTGGGCACATAGGGGTAGACCTATGTTTTATAGACCAGTTGGCACTCGGGGTGGGGGTGATGTAGTCAACATCATGCTGCTGCCTTTACTTCCCAGGACTGTTCATGATACGTACTCAAGGCTGGGTCTACCTGGTAGCAAGGTAATTTTTGAAAGAGGTATTTAATGGATATACACACGTGGCATCTTAAAATCTTCAGATAAGTTTTAAGTTTTAGGTTTACCGTAGTACACTTCAATGTGAGTCTTGTTTGTGGCACTGGGGATGTCTGGATGTTATTCAGTCTTCTGCAAAGTCTTTTGAATCTTGTGCAGTTTTCAGTTTCAGTGCTGTTAACACCCTCTCTTCAATACGCTGGATATTCCTTTTTTTCCCAGTGGAATTCTAAGTCTCATGGGGACACAAGATCACAGACAACTTCAAACTTGTCTTCACTATTTATATCCTGTCATCCCCTTGTGGGGTGAAATTTTTCATTATTTGAAGCCCTACTCTGGCTCTTGTCAGGGGCCGCAATATAGCCTGGCCATAAATATGGTTTAATGGCTGAATGCAGTTTCTGGGACCTCTCATCCTCATCCCCATGGTGGCACTCTGTGTCATCGGGTGTTTATTGCTTGTGTGATGTCCCGATGGAGTAAAAGAAATGAATGAATGAATGAACTTGTCTTCACATGTTAAGATGCCAACAGTGTATATCCATTAACTGCTTCTTTTATAACAAGAGTTTAAAATCCTGAAAATCCTGTAATAATCAAGCCATGTTCTTCTAATGAAATGGGACATGGTCTTTTTCAGGGGGCCCAGAAAACATTGACCATAGGCACGGAGCAGGCCGTGTTTTCCAGTTTTACAATGACATGGGGCAGGAAAAGTAAGTGACATCTAATTTTTTTTTTAAATTCAGTGTCTTCTTAGATAACAAAGCTATCTTGCCTCATATCAATTGTCGTTCTCCAGTGCTAATTTTATGTTCAAAAGTATAAACAGTGAGTTGAGTTGACTCAAGAATTGACATCACAGCACTTAGAAGAATTCCCATGTGCGCTCCGTCCCCATCTTCAGCAGCCAGGGCAGAGTTCTAATACTGATGGTACCGGTCACAATCTGGTTATATTTCTGTCTTGCCTTTCCTCTGAGTGTAGTGAGCCGGCCAGACCCTCTGGTTACACCCAGGGTCCTCATTTTCTCCAGGCCATAATAATCTTCTTTCTCTACTGATTCCGTTGCTTATTCCCAAAGGGCCTTGACCACATCTGCCTTGTCATGTTTCAATTCACCACCCAGTGGTGCAGATCCAGCCAATCTGTCTGCCTGTTCATTACCCACTATGCCAGCATGGCCTGGAGAAAAGATCCAAAGTATGCTCACTACCCTTGACCTTTCCAAGTAGTATAAATAGTGACAACCTGGAAATGGCTAATGAAAGTATAACATTATGTACAACAATGAGAAGGAGACAAGCAAAGTTCTTTGGTCATGTGATGAGAAAAGGAGCACTGAAGAATATCGCGATGCCTGAAAAGATCACTGCTAGAAAAGGCTTAAGACAATGGCATGCAGGAATAGAATCAGTGGAATTGACCCAGAACACCAAAAAACTGAGATCTGTGTAGATGTGTGAACCCCTACACCAGTATAGACCAGAGCTATTCAACTGGTGGTCAGTGGGCCTAATCCGGCCCCCAGAAGCCTAGCAAGTGGCTTGCAGATCATTGCCAACAGTATTGTATTAATGGTCCACCTATGCTGGGGTTGCGGCCGGAGTGATACTGACCACATCACCCACCAAGTGCCGATTGGTTTATAAAAATATAGGTCTAGCCCTATATTCCCAATACGCCTAAAGGCATGAAAAAGGGCCCTATGCTGGGGCTGAGGTGTCTGGCTTTTGACAGTCTCCATTTTCCACACTGTAGTCCCTGCACAAACTTAGTTAAATAGCCCTGGTATAGACTGTTATCTTTCCCCTTATTTTTATTTCTTATAGTTCTGTTGTAGTTAATAGTATTCTTCTGTTAATTCAGATCCCTTTATGTGTTCTAGGGACATATTTTAGGAAGAAAAAGTATACCAACAGCCCCTTAACAACCATGTGGTAAAAGATGACTAGTACTTGTAGAATAATGATAGTGGGTAGTATAATATGCAAGAAACACAGATGAGGTACAGATTAAATGGACAAAAGTTAATTTATGTAGAGAAACAATATATGAGAAATATGGAGGTGGCAGTATTCACATTTGGGGAGGATTTAATTTTTACCATTGCTGGCCTCTTCCTGTCTTCCCTGTAAATGCTGTGACACATCAAGATAAGGTTCACTGAAAGGTTTGGATCTCGTATATATGCTATTTGGCTATGGATCAAGGAAGAATCTCATAATATGAAGAATCTCTGTATACAGATCATTAAGGATAGTTATTATATAATGGGCCAACAGATTTGATGCACAGCCACAGTAGACCTTTATTTCTTGTCATTGGGGTAGCAAGAATGAGTGATATACACTTTATCACTGGAATTCCAGTGAATTGTGACTAAAAAGCATAACAGCCATCAGCCTTTGTCAAACATGAAGTATTATTAGTTTTGCACACATTTTTCTAACTTCATGTTTGACAAAGGCTGTGGGCCGAAACATGATTGTTGTTGTTTTGTACATGTTTTTTTCTGCTTTCCCATTTCATTAAGCTTTTCAGTCACATTTCAGTGGAATTTCTTGTATCAGCTTGACTGCAGTCACCCCCATATTTTCACTGTATCATCGGGAATGTTAGTTGAATGATTGTCTCTAATCCACCTGATATAAAATGCAGCAACAAGGATTATCTTATACAGTGTTGTATTGACATACAGATCATGTCTTTTCTCATTCTATGTATGCATTCATAAAAATCATACACCCACTTCTAGCAGAGAAAAATGTTGGCATCCTGCATGACCTGAACATCAAGGAGAATTGGCTCGTAAACAGCATCCTGTCCCAAAAGCTAAGGTAGTTTAGACATGTCCAGCGCGTGGTGGTCTGGAGAGAACGGGGATAGAGGGTGCAGGCCAACCTCTACTAAGGCAGATACAGGACATTAATGATGCATTGGCTATAAAAGCACATAGGGCTGGTGACTTGGCTAGAGAAAGAGAGACTTTTAGGTGTGCCGTGACGAGGGTGATGTTCTGTAAAGGACTTACTGATTGATGAGTAATCGTGTATGATTGTTTTTATGTCTATCATTAAAATCATTCATCCACTTGTAGTAGAGAAAACAAGATGGGTAAAAGAAATGATTTCTTTTATGTCCATGATAAGAATTATAAACACACTTGTAGTAAAATCAGTACCTATATTGATAAATGATTGTTTTGATGTTCCTCAGGAGAATTGAACATCGACTTGTGGTAGAAACAAGATGGATTATGATTGTTTTTATGTCCATCATAAGAATTATAAATCCACTTCAGTAGAGACAACATGAATGATTGACATATGATTGATTTCATGTCCACAATAAGAATTGAACATCCACTGGTAGTAGAGACAGTGTGGATGACTGATAAATGATTGATTTCATGTCCATCATAAGAATTAAATATCCACTTGTAGTAGAGACAACATGGATGATTTACATATGATTGATTTCATGTCAATCATAAGAATTGAACATCGACTTGTAGTAAAGACAAACAAGATGGGTAAAAAAAAATATGATATATTTCATGTCCATCATAAGAATTAAATATATACTTGTAGTAGAGACAATGTGAATGACTGATAAATGATTATTTCATTTCCATCATAAGAATTGAACATCCACTTGTAGTAGAGATAACATGGATGATTTACATATGATTGATTTCATGTCAATCATAAGAATTGAACATCCACTTGTAGTAGAGACAACATGGATGATTTACAGATGATTGATTTCATGTCCATCATAAGAATTGAACATCCACTTGTAGTAGAGACAACATAAATGATTTACAGATGATTGATTTCATGTCCATCACAAGAATTGAACATCCACTTGTAATAGAGACAACATGGATGATTTACAGATGATTGATTTCATGTCCATCACGAGAATTGAACATCCACTTGTAGTAGAGATAACATGGATGATTTACAGATGATTGATTTCATGTCCATCATAAGAATTGAACATCCACTTGTAGTAGAGATAACATGGATGATTTACAGATGATTGATTTCATGTCCATCATAAGAATTGAACATCCACTTGTAGTAGAGATAACATGGATGACTGATACATGATTATTTGATTGTGTATTTTACAGGTTGACAACAGGACCGCCACCAGTGACAATCTTCTCTGGATCCAGACGCATAAACTGTCACATTATGTCAGAGGCCAGACAACTGTGCTGCTTAGAATGGGGTCGAGTAAGTGCCTTATGTTAGCTCCTTTGTCAAATCAGTACTGTTTTCCTATGAGGGTTCCGAATAGATCAACACCCCTTAACAAGTTACTGAGTTGATTGCATGGCACAACACTGTGAACTGTAGATGTTTTTTTGGAATTTTTTTTTACTGTGTTTAACATGGTTTGTGTTATGACCTGCGGATTCAGAAAATGATGAGTGGCCAGTTGCTACAGAATTAGTGATATGTGAATATGTTCCCAATCATGTTGGCTTTCCCCAGTGGTTTGCCCAATTGTACTTTTTTTGTGCTGAATATATGATCATTTCAATTTCAGTACAGGTGTCTCAGTTGTATCCTTACATCAATAATTAAACTATAAATTTCATGTAAAAAAAACAACTTGTAAGTAGTTTTGTTTTCTATAATTACAATAATTTTAAAATACTTTTCTAACAGTTTGTAATTGTCCTATGTTGTAATTGTGGTTTAACAATGTATATGAAAAAATATTTTTCTAACAAGATAAAACAACATTTTACCATATCAGTATATATTCAACATATCAAAACATTCATTCATTTTCAGTGTTTTACTAGTTATATCATGTAACATTTGTTATTGGTGTCTTCAATAAATTTGTATTTTCATAACTTTTTGAAGTCCAACTTTTGATGGATTCAGCTTTAATGTTTTATAGCATCAACAACAACAATTTAACTCTTTGAGTCCCATGGGGTTTAGCATCACAGGCCCAAGGCGTGGTCACGAAAGACGTAAAATCTACGCATCATGCATAGGGATCTATGAACGTATGATACGTTCCTTGGGACTCAAAGAGTTAAAGAAAAAAAAAAAAGACACACATGAAGCCTATTTCCACCAGATGTTGTTTGTTAATTGTCACCTGTATGTTGCCCACAGAACTGTGATCACTGCAAGTACAAAAATGCCAAGGATGAGAGGTGGCAGCATCAGCTGATTATCCTAGCTGCTGAACATGCTACTCCAGGCATCTTCAACTTCATTGTGCCCTTGAGGTCTTCCTTCATTGGTGTCAATGGATTGAGTCCCTATTGTTTTATTGTTGGAGGAACAGTGAGTTTGTGTCTTTCTCTGTTCATATAATGTAATTAAAAACAAAAATAAAGTAAGTAAAGGACCCTTTTCCACGTCTTTAGGCGTATAGGGCATATAGGGCTTGACCTATATTTTATATACCAGTCGGCACAAGATGGTTGATGTGGTCAGCATCTCGCTGCCACCTTTACTTCCCGTGGACTGCACCCGGTATCCACTCAAGGCTGCCTCAACCTGAGAGCCAAAGTTATTTTTGAAAAATGTCTGGTTCCGCCAGGGAGCGAACCCACGACCTTCCAATCTGCAGGCGAATGGCTAGCCACTCCACCCTGGCGACTCCAATATATAATGTAATAAGTAAGTATTTATTTAAAAATTGCACACAGTAAAGTGATGAATGTGAGTAGATCAAGAAGCTGGTGGAATCATAATACACAGGCAGATCTATGAACACCTGGAGTTATAAGTCGAGAGGATTGACTTCACTTACTATTTTAAAAAAAAACCCATATGGCTTGGTCTCTCTCTGCATAATAGCTAGCTGCCTGCTGAGAGCATCGCACAAAGCACATACTCTGTATCTCTGGTGATGACACCCTGGAGGTCTGCGTAGGAAGTGCACTCATGAAATGAACCCCTGACCTTCAGACTGCAAGGCTCCCGTGTGGGTTCCGGGGCCCCATTGTGGGGAAAACAAGAATAGACCCACTGCCTCCCCAAAAGCATATCGTAAGAGTAGACTAATTGGGGAGCTTCCTTCTAAGTCGGAGTGCGTCTGCCGGAGAGGCAAGGAACCAACAGTCTGTATTCAAGAGAATGAGATCTGTAAAACTGATGCACACGCAACACTCAGGTTCTGGGGCAGGAATTCAGTTCAGTAGTGGACGAGCAACCAGAACTTTCCGCCAGAGTGTACAGCTGGTGAACGCGAAGAAGAAGAAGAAGAAAATTGCAAGGCAAATGGTTTGACCGTTTCGCCACAGAGACATCCGAAAACACTTGGAGTTACCAACTGGAAGGAGAAGGCTAAACAAAGAGGTGAATGAAGGTGTGATATATGAAGCAATAAACCTCATGGGCTTGGAATGTTAAAGAAGAAGTAGTGTGTATTTGTGACATATGTTACCCTTTTTTTATTCACTATTTGTTATTACTGTTAAAATAGAATTGGTCGGTAAATATGGAATAAAAAATGCAAGCTAAGACAAATATAAATATATGTTATTACAAGAATAAATAAAAAATATCCAGGGGTGCTTAACAGAAGACATTGCTGTTTCCCATCTTTATTTGCTTTCTTTATGTCTCTGTTTCTCTCTCTTTCTCTCTCTTTCTCTCTCACACACACACACACACACATTGTCTCTATCGTCCACTCATTGTTGGTATGTCTGTGTGACTGTCTCTCTCTTTCTCTCTCTTTCACAAGCACATTGTCTCTATACCTGTCCGTGCCTCTCTCTCTCTCTCTCTCTCTCTCTCTCTCTCTCTCTCTCTCTGTGTGTCTCTCTCTCTCTCTTTCGCATGTACATTGTCCCTATACCTCTCTCCTCCTCTCATCGTCCGTATGTCTGTCTGTGACTGTCTGTCTTTCTCTCACATGCACATTGTCTTCATACCTGTATGTGACCCTTTCTCTCTGTGTCTCTGTCTCTCTCTGTCTCTCTCTCTGTGCCTCTCATAGTCTCTGTGTCTGTCTGTGATTCTTTCTCTCTCTCTCTCACTCCACCCTCTCTCCCTCCCTCTCTTTCTCACACAGTTATTAACATAATTTATGTATGGATGATGCATCATTAATTTAGAAGTATATTCCTTGTATTTCTAGCTCATCATAATGTTAGGAATTTACTGTATACATTTATGAGTCTTCATCATTAGCAGAAGATCATTTCTTCCATAGTAAAATTTCAACAGACAGGCATGCATAATTCCACATAACATACATTAATGTGGTCACATTGTGTACAGTGAGTAAAATTCTGGAGATTTGTCTTTCTGCTTCCCCATTATGTCTCATGCTTTATTTTGGTTGTCCTTGCTTTCAGACCAGACCCTGTGTTTCTGGACACTATAGCTCGGTTTCCACTAGTTTACTACATGATGGGAACCATAAGAATGTAAGTGACAGGCTCATTTGGTGTCAGTGTCATCCATGCTTTTGTTTTTGACTTTATATATATAATATGCATATTATTACATAAATATAACATGCTTCATTGATGAAATACAACTGCTGTGCGAAAGATGGAAGTTTGGAAGGGCCAAATGTAAGACAGGCCTGCGTGCCTAATTTGTAACCCTTTGAAAATAAAGTTTGTTCGTTCGTTCGTTCGTTCAGTGATAAAAAGTTCAGTGAAAAACAGGCAAACATAATGTCAGAATGTAACACAGTGTATTGTGTTGGGAGGAGTGTAACTTAATGTATTGGTAAGATGAGTGTAACGTAATGTTTTGGTAGAATGAGTGTAATGTAATATGTTGTTGGGAGAAGTGTAAATTATTGTATTGGCAGGATGAATGTAACACAGTGTACTGGTGGGATGAGTGTAACAGGATGTACTAGTGGGATGAGTGTAGCATAATGTTTTGATGGAATGAGTGTAGCATAATGTAATAATGGAATAAGTTTAGCTTAATGTATTGGTGGGATGAGTGTAACATAATGTAATGGTGGAATGAATGTAGCATAATGTAATAATGGAATAAGTTTAGGTATTGGTGGGATAGGTTAACATAATGTTTTGGTGGGATGAGTAAAGCATTAATTTCTTTGATGGAATGAGTGAAACATAATGTATTTGTGGGATCAGGGTAATGTAATGTATTGGTGAGATGAGTGTAACAATAATTTCATTGATGGGATGAGTGTAACATAATGTATTGGTGGGATGAGGGTAATGTAATGTATTCGTTTGATGAGTGTAACATAATGTATTAGCGAAATGAGTGTAATGTGTTGTTGGGATGAGTGTAATGAAGTGTATTAGTGGTATGAATGTAACATTATTTATTGGCTGGATGAATGTAATGTAATATATTGGTGGGATGAGTGTAACATAATCTTATTGATGGGATGAGTGTAACATAATCTTATTGATGGGATGAGTGTAACATCATCTTATTGGTGGGATGAGTGTAACATAATCTTATTGGTGGATGAGTGTAACATAATCTGTATGAGTGTAACATAATCTTATTGATGGGATGAGTGTAACATAATCTTATTGATGGGATGAGTGTAACATAATCTTATTGGTGGGATGAGTGTAACATAATCTTATTGATGGGATGAGTGTAACATAATCTTATTGATGGGATGAGTGTAACATAATCTTATTGATGGGATGAGTGTAACATAATCTTATTGGTGGGATGAGTGTAACATGTGGGATGAGTGTAACATAATCTTATTGGTGGGATGAGTGTAATAATCTTATTGATGGGATGAGTGTAACATAATCTTATTGATGGGATGAGTGTAACATTCTTATTGATGGGATATGTAAACATAATCTGATGGGATGAGTGTAACATAATCTTATTGGTGGGATGAGTGTAACATAATCTTATTGATGGGATGAGTGTAACATAATCTTATTGATGGGATGAGTGTAACATAATATATCAGTTGGATGAGTGTTACATATTGGTGGGATGAGTGTAACATAATATATCAGTTGGATGAGTGTTACATATTGATGGGATGAGTGTAACATAATCTTATTGATGGGATGAGTGTAACATAATGTATTAGTGAAATGAGTGTAATGTGTTGTTGGGATGAGTGTGATGAAGTGTATTAGTGGTATGAATGTAACATTATTTATTGGCTGGATGAAAGTAATGTAATATATTGAGGGATGAGTGTAACATAATCTTATTGTGGGATGAGTGTAACATAATCTTATTGATGGGATGATGAGTGCAAGATGGGAATTTAATTGATGGGATGAGTGTATGAGGATGGGATGAGTGTAATAATCTTATTGATTGGTTGGATGAGTGTAACGTAATGTATTGATGGGATGAGTGTAATGTGATGTATCGGTGGGATGAGTGTTACATATTGGTGGGAATGTAATCTATTGGTGTAAGGGTAATTTTATTGATGGGATATGTGTAATGTGATGTATCGGTGGGATGAGTGCAACATTAATTTGATTGATGAGATGAGGGTATCATAATGTATTGGTGGATGAGTGTAACATAATGTATTGGTGAGTCAGATATGATTATGACTTGTGGCTGATTCTCAAGCGAGCAGAGGGCGTCAACAACTGCCTCCATCTTCATTCTCAGACTAAGACATTATGGTGTCATTATGCCAGGCTTTGTTGCACTAAGCGACATCCATTCACTTTTGCTATGAACTTCCATGCACTTCATCTGCCTCCCAACACAGAGCCAACTGTATTGATAATCAAAGCGCCTGGGCTGGAATTATTCTGAATCATTTTTGAACTTCTGATTCTGCAGCATCAGCTGGCCAGTCCCTGCACTCACGACCTAAAGTGATTACAACCCTACACAATTCTGAGTCTTGTCTGGACACTTTGACCCAGTCCTCTCCAAAATTATTAAGCCTGCGCACATGTCTAATTGTGTCTTCAGCCTGCGCCATCCAAGACATTCCTCTTTTCAGTCTGTGACTTTAGCTCTAACCAGGGCTTCATGCAGGAGATGCTGCTTTTCTGCAGCTACTCTGAGACATGACATTGCCTGTAGAACTGTTAGCCTATATGCAATAGTAGGCATGCAAGTATATATCGCATACATACTGCTGGGGTATCTCTTGTACATCCCAGAATTACCAGGGTGAATGACAGGATGAATGCAAAATAATGTATTGATAGGATAAATGTAACATGATGCATATTAATGAATGTAACACAGTGTGTCTACCTTCTACAGTGTTGATGACCTGCTGCTGGCTGGGATTAACAAAGCCAGCCATCTTGTGGTGGTCAACAGAGATTCAGATTCTGACTATGGTGGAGAGGAGATCCTGGCAGATTCTGAAACTATTGTTGCTGTACAGACTATTTTCAAGTAAGCAGATGGTTTCTTTAGTATTCAGGTATTTGGTGTTCTTCTCATCTGGTGATGGTAATGGTAATGTTAGATTCAGCTTCATTGCAAATGGGTCACTCGATAGTTGCTCATCTTCTGTGCCAACGAAAAACACACAGAATGTTTATCATAGTCCCTTGTGGAGAGATTGACAGACTGCTGTCTCAGCAAATGCACTAGCGTACACAGGCATTAAAAGCATATGGTGGCCATCAGAAGTGCTAACACAAACAGTCTGATATTAGAAATGCAGTTCATCATCGACGGTAGCAGAGGTAACCAACAAATCAGCAGTTGCTGATCAATTTTAATCACATAAGGGCACAATAAATATTGCAACAAGAGGGCACACGCTATTTTCTGAATCTACAATTCACAGCACCACGTTGGTCACAGTTGAAAAACATTCAAAATGAAATCCGCAGCTCACAGGGCCGCACCATGCACTCAGCTCAGTAGATGGGTTCTGCAATGGAGCAAAAATGCAATGGCCACCATCTGGCAGAAGCAAAAACTTTGCCTCTTCTTGTTTGGAAACTATTTCCAGTACCTAGTCATGCGCTTTTTCTACTCTGAGCTTTATGTATACAACTTCAGCATGCATTTGTTAAACTCTCTGAGGTCTGCACAGTTTTGCACATAAGTCTCAGTGTCTCATTTCACTGATGTGTTGTTTGTTTCAAGAGTGCATTTTGTATGGGAAATCCCTTGGAATCATCACTATAGCTACGGAGTTCGGGCTTTGTGTAATGCTCTGAGCAGGCAGATAGCTGTTCTATGGATAGAGAGACCGAATGGGATAAAGCTGTTCTAATCAAGTCAGTCCTCTTGACTTTAGCTTTTTAAGCAAAGGATACTTTAACTCCTTGCATACCAAGATGTTATATTTAACAAGTGGATGGTTAGTATCCTTTACAGGACTTTACAGAACCAACCCCAACAGCCCCTGGCTGTTGTGTGGTTTTTCTAGGCAAATTTACATCCAGTAGTTTGCCATTTCTTTCTGGATGGTCGGCTTTCTCAATACCACTATCGAAACCAATGCAAGCCACATGGCCCGCAGCTGGGATCGAACCCGACCCGACATTACGAAGTGTTCGCATCGACTTAGCCACAGAGCCGACACACAAGTGCAACTACAGACAATAAAACATTTTCCTACTATATACATCTGTTTCTTTGCAGACTATTCCCCAATACTTATGTAGTCACGGAGTTGAGCCAGGCATCAAACATGAGGTTCATGCAGTTTTCTGCTCAGGATGCCAACAGTCAGAAGGCTTCCCGTCTAGAACAGGTACTGTGAGAATACTTGCCTTCCACGAGAATTAATATTTGTTTGAAATGAGAAATATGATTAACTCCATAGAGGATTCATTATTTGTTTACTATGGGAAATATTGTTAATTCATTAGAGAATTGATTGTTTGAAAATGGGAAATATGGTTGACCCATTAGAAAATTGATTTTTTTGTTTCAAATGGGAAATATGGTTAACTTATTTGAGGTTTGATAATTTTTTTTTTGAATTGGTGAATATGATTAACTCATCAGAGGATTGATTTTTTGTTTAAAATGGGGAATTTCGTTAACTCATTAGAGGTTTTGATTATTTGTTTGAAATGGGAAATATTGTTTACTCATTAGAGGATTGATTATTTGTTTTAAATGGGAAATATTGTTAACTCATTAGAGGATTGATTATTTGTTTGATATGGGAAATATTAAATAATAATATAAATATATATATCAAAACTAAACTGTGTTATCTCATTAGAGGATTCTCCCAGGTCGACCTTGCCTTGAGTGGGTACCGGGCGTAGTCCCGGAAAGTAAAGGCAGCCAGTGTAATGCTGACCACATCTTGTGCCAATTGATTTATAAAAATATAGATCTAGCTCTATATCCTCTATACACCTAAAGGCGTGGAAAAGAGTTCTTTACTTTTTTTTTAACATTAGAGGATTTATTATTTGTTTGAAATGGGAAATATAAATATAAATATATATATATATATATATATATATATATATATATATATATATATATATATATATATATATATATATATATATATATATATATATATATATATATATATATATATATATATATATATATATATATATATATATATATATATATATATATATATATATATATATATATATATTATATAAAATACTAAACTGTGTTACCTAGTGTGTGTATGCTTCTCTGTGACTGTCTCTGTGTGTCTGTTTTGTGTGTGTCATTGTGTTTCATAATATATGTCTCTCTCTGAATGTCTATTTTGCTTAAGTCAGTGTGTGTATCTAGTGTGATTTCTTAATGTGTGTGTTAATGTCTAACATATATACTTTTATTGTGTTTTAGTATGTGTGTTAAATTAGTCAATAGTGGTTTTTTTTTAAATGTGAATGTGTGTCTACTGTATGTTGTATTTTAGTCAATGAGTATGACTATTTATAACTGTCTCTGTCATTGTATGCTGTTTGCCTCTGTTATTTGTTTGTCAGTGTGTCTATGTGTGGCAATAAATAGATGCATGACTGGACAGAGAGAGGAGGGATACTTGCATGTGTGTGTGTGATTGTATGTTGCATGATTTTTTCATATATGTATGCACATATGTATGTGTGACTGTGCATGTACATATGAGTGTCTGTGTGTGCCTGCATATTGCATGCATTTAGTTGTGTGCATATGTGTGTGTGTGTGTGCATGTGTGCGTGTTTATTTTGTGTGTGTTGTTGTTGCATGCACACATAAATGTAAATATGTCTGCATGTTTATTGTATAAATGTACATTTGTTTGTGTCGGTATAGTGCATGCATGGATGTATGTGTGTGTGTGTGTGTGTGTGTATAATGCAGAATGCATGTACATGTGTGTGTGTGCATCTGAAATTATATACATGTACAAATGTGAGTCCGTGTATGTTATGCATACATATATACATATGTTCATCTGTGTCTGATATGTTAAGTCCATTCAGTGAAAATACTTAGCAGTTGTATTATGTTCACTGCTACATTAATTCAGCATGTGTAACCCTGAATATATATATATATATGTGTATATGTATATGTAAATGTGTGTGTGCATGCGTGCATGCATGCGCGTGTGTGTGTGAAAAAATTAGCCGTGTGACGGGTGAGGAGTAGGAAGGGTCAAAAATAGGACTGTCTTGAATCCTGTTTGTGAAATGAAAAAATTTTTTAAAAATTAAGAACCTTGAAATAACTTTGAAAATTAAATATTATTAACTTATTTCTTTTGCTCGTTTTTTTCTTCTTTCTATCACTCAGATTATTTTCTTCATATTCTCACATTACAGAAATTAAAAGATGTGATGACGACAAACCTGAACCATATATTCCGTCTGCCATTTGCCGCTGGCCAGGTGTTCTCTGCTAGCATGTTGGATACGCTCTTATACCAGGTAGGTCTCTGTAGTGATTCAATCACTCAGGTGCCATCTCCACAGTTAAGGTTGGCTGTAATGGATCTCCAGCTTGCTCTGCCTCTTGTCCCGGTTGTACACTCTCTCAGATTGCTGCCCATCCATCTCTTGATGTTGCCCTCCCAGTTGTATCATTGCCTACCTCTTGCTCTCTTTCCTTCGACCTTTCCCTCCATAATGGTTTTGGAAAATGTGTTATGTCTTTTAATGTGGCTAAAGTACTTCATTAGTCTCTCTTTTTTTTTTAAATTTCTTTCAGTATTTCTGGTTTCATTTGTAGCCTTTCCAGAACCTCTGCATTGTACTGTTTTTGTTTCTGTGAAATACGACCTGTTCTTCTGTATACCCACATTTCCAAAAACTCAGTTCGATTTTCTAGTTGCCTGATCACGGTCCAAGTTTCTGCATCATACAGCAGGGTTGAGTTACCATAACATTTGACAAACCTCATTTTTAATGTGTTGTTTCTTCTCTAGCTGTCAGTAACTTGTGCAACTTACTGAAAACAGTTTTAGCCATTCTCATTCTCTTTTTGATTTCTGTTTCGCTTTTCCATCATCTGTGGTGATTACTGATTACTTTTTTAAGAGTTAGCATCATTGCACACCAGCCATACCCACACATGCTCCCTCTCCCTCAGCAGATGTCTTAAGTTGTAGATGCTAACTATTCCCATAGCATACTGATATACTCAGTTCCTTTCCTTTCATACGTGCTTGCCAATCCAGATTCTTACACATGTTATGTCATCTGACTTCATGTCTTCTGTCAGCATTCATTCATAAGTTGTCTTCAGAAAGTCTCCTTTTTTCAGGACAGCTATTCCTGTAGCTATGGCTTTTGATGCTAAACAAATCTGCTCTTTCATTCTTATGCACTCCTGCATTTCCTGGACAGTACATCACATGCATGCACATGCACACACACACACACACACGCACACACACGTGCTCACTGTGTAATAATTTTATAGACATCTACAATAATTCTTATCATAGAAATTAAAGCAGCTTTTTTTTTTGTAAATTCAATTTTGTTTTCACTACTACATTATTTGTTTGTTTTATTCCATATCAAATGTCAACTCACTCATTATTGGTTCATGTTACTCCACTGATAGCATCTACTCATTTTTTGTTCATGTTACTCCATTGAAAGCATCAACTCATTATTTGTTTATGTTACTTCATTGAAAGCATCAACTCATTATTTGTTTATGTTACTTCATTGAAAGCATCAACTCATTTTTTGTTCATGTTACTCCATTGAAAGCATGAACTCATTATTGGTTCATGTTACTCCACTGATAGCATCTACTCATTATTTGTTCATGTTACTCCATTGAAAGCATCTACTCATTATTTGTTCATGTTACTCCATTGAAAGCATCAACTCATTATTTGTTCATCTTAGTCCACTGAAAGCATGAACTTATTATTTGTTCATCTTAGTCCACTGAAAGCATGAACTCATTATTTGTTCATCTTAGTCCACTGAAAGCATGAACTCATTATTTGTTCATCTTAGTCCACTGAAAGCATCTACTCATTATTTGTTCATCTTAGTCCACTGAAAGCATCAACTCATTATTTGTTCATCTTAGTCCACTGAAAGCATCAACTCATTATTTGTTCATCTTAGTCCACTGAAAGCATCAACTCATTATTTGTTTCATCTTAGTCCACTGAAAGCATCAACTCATTATTTGTTCATCTTAGTCCACTGAAAGCATCAACTCATTATTTGTTCATCTTAGTCCACTGAAAGCATCAACTCATTATTTGTTCATCTTAGTCCACTGAAAGCATCAACTCATTATTTGTTCATCTTAGTCCACTGAAAGCATGAACTCATTATTTATTATGTTAGTCCACTGAAAGCATCAACTCATTATTTGTTCATCTTAGTCCACTGAAAGCATGAACTCATTATTTATTATGTTAGTCCATTGAAAGCATCAACTCATTATTTGTTCATCTTAGTCCACTGAAAGCATGAACTCATTAATTATTTATGTTAGTCCATTGAAAGCATCAACTCATTATTTGTTCATCTTAGTCCACTGAAAGCATCAACTCATTATTTGTTTATGTTAGTCCTTTGAAAGCATCAACTCATTATTTGTTCATGTTACTCCAATGAAAGCATCAACTCATCTGTTCATGTTACTTCATTGAAAGCATCATTTCAATATTTATTCATGTTACTCAGTTGAAAGCATCAGCTCATTATTTGTTCATGTTACCCCATATAAAACATTAACTTATTCATTATTTGTACAGGTTACTCCATATAAAATGTCAGCTTACTATTTGTTCATCATTTACTCCATATTTATCTCTTTTAGGCTCCAGGTACGCATCCTGTGCCTGGAAGCCCATAAGCATAAGATGTGCTGATTTTACCTTTCTCTGTACTACCCCCTTGGGCCACTGAGGTTAAACCCCCTGGGACGGAAAGAGTTGACACTTCTAAGCGCAACTAAAAATGTTTTGTTTCATACTTTCACCTAGATTATTTTACTATCCATTGTAAACTATAATTTCAGACATTTGTAAAAGGGTATCTGATCAGCTTTGTGCGTCTGCTGCTGGGAATTGATGCTGAAGAGGGCTCTGGCCATTTATCAAGTGTGAGTTGTTCAGATTCTGTGATATTAATTTAGAAAGTATATGCATGTTTGAATAATAGCACAAGGCATAATACCAGGGAGAAGGGGCAGGGGCCGACCCACACGGAGATGGACAAAGGATATAAGTGACTCCTTGATTATGAAAGTACACGAAGGGGGAAAGCTCTCAAGAGACCGAGTTTCTTTCAGGCAGATCATGATGAGAGCGATGTTCTGTAAAGGACCTGCTACATGATGATGATGCATGTTTGATAGAGTTTTCCCATGTAGGTTTTGGTAGCCCCATTTTGGGGCGGGGTGGGAATAACCCACTTACCCCAAAAAAGCATGTCACAAATGTAGAATAATTAAGGTGTTTGCTTTGAAGTTGGAGTGCAATCTGCCTGAGATACGAGGAATAGTCTGCTTCCAATAAGATATATCTGTAAAATGGATGTGCACACAAAACAACAAATTCTGGAACAAGAACAATGCTGTGGTCAGATGATGACCAAAGCTACATGACCTGATGTTTAAGTAGAAGTACATAACAAATAAAAAGTAGACATTGGCTCCCAGGTCGACCCAGCCTGGAGTGAGTACCAGGTAAAGTCCTGGAAAGTAAAAGTGGCTGGCATGTTGCTGACCACATCAGCCACTGAGTGCCAGTTGGTCTAAAAAACAGGTCTAGCCCTCTGTGTCCAGTGTGTCTGAGGGTATGGAGAAGGGTCCTTTACTTGACATAGTGAGGCAGCTATCTGGGTACTATGACAATGTGTGTCAATATATGGACGAGTATCACTTTAACAGCCTGATAAGAACATTTTTCCATTTCTGTTCACCGGATATGCAGGACTTTATATTTGTGAGTTTGAGGCCCGTCTTTGTACTGTGGCCTGTATTATGCAGTGGGCTATTCAATGGTGGCTACTGGCCAAATCCAGGGCAAAGGCTTAGCCAAAGGCCCATGGATCATTGTCTGTTGTAGTGTGCCAGTGATCTTTCTTCTTTGTGGGAACTGGCTTTTGGCCCATCATGATCACCATTTTCAACATTTGGGCCCCTAAGTAAGCTTCATAGAAAAACCCTGGTATAAAGTATACCAAGGATCTTTCCAAAAGATATTTAAATAAATTATATCGCAAAGTTATCAAGAGTTAACCAAAGATTTCTGTCAGAATTGTTGCTTCTGCTATTTATAATCTAGTCTAAGATTTGCTTCTGCCATGGTTTGCTGTTGCATTCCCCTCCCCCCCCCCCCCTCGTGTATATGTATATATATATATATATATATATATATATATATATATATATATATATATATATATATATATATATATATATATATATATATATATATATATATATATATATATATTTATGGACTGAAAATACACAGTTCTTTCACCCAGCTATTGAGTTGAGTGTGTGGTATGACACTGTGAATTGTGAATTCATTTAAAATTCAACTGTGCTTTGGTGGTCAGTGTTGTGAACCGCAAATTCAGAATGTGGTGAACAGACCTTGTGGTGCCTTATTCGATTTTGTGTTCTTCGCCGATTGACTGAATTCTTGTGACTGAATGTTTGTGTTGGTTGGCACTTCTGACAGCTGCTTTATGCTTTTAATGCAATTTGCATCCTATTGGCTTCGCTGGGACTGCATTCTGCTTCAGTTTCTCAACATGAACATTGATGGACATTTCATGTGCAGTTTTTGCTGTCACATGAATGAAGCAATATTGAGCTGACCAGTTTGCTGTCAAGCTGGAACTGCAATTTCTTCATCTCCTCCTCTTCTTCTTCTTCTTCTTCTTCTTCTTCTTCTTCTTCATCATCTTTTCTGGCTGTGGCTGCGTTTTCTTTTGTGTCTTCATCTTCATATTCTTCTTCTTCCGCTTCTCCTTCTGGGCATGTGGTTTCATATGCTCAGGTCAGACCGTCAGGTGGGCTGCCTCTATGAACTCTCTTGTCAGTTGCAGATCCTCCATGGTTCCCCATAGCTCGCTCACTCTGCACACTTTGTTCCTGGGGTCAGGTTTCTCTTCATAGGTTTGAGTATAGTGAGCTGGCTTGCAGAATGTACTCAGGTGTTTGTGGTCCCATCTGACATGCATGCACACTGGGGGACTGTACGTTCTTTGTGTTATACTTGTAGTAAAAAAAAACTAAAAAGTACAAGTCCCTTTTCCACACATTTAGGTGTGTAGGGCATATAGGGCTAGACCTATATTTTTATACACCAGTCGGCACAACACTGGTGATGTGGTCAGCATCCCGCCGGCCACCTTTACCTCCCAGGACTGCACCTGGTACCCACTCAAAGCTGGGTCGACCTGGGAGTCAAGGTCAATTTTGAAAAAAGTCCAGCTCCGTATGCATGTGGTAATAAACTGCAACTAACTAACTATGATTAACACGTCATTTCATTGTCAATGCATTTGTTACATCCTCAGATACGAGTCAAGCGGAGTACGCTGCACAAATTTCCAGAGTATGGTGAGCTCTATGAAGGGCTGTGCTCTGCTACTGGAGAAATTCCCTTTGCTATCTACAGGACTGAAAAAATACCCAAAACAGCCCATCATGATAGGGAAACATTCCTTGGAGAAACACTCTCCGACATTCCATTGTTAAAATCCCCCAGAAAGGTTTGTCTCATATATTATTAGTTAGTTCCGTATCCTTTACAGGACGTTGCAGAACCAACCCCAGCATTTTTTGGCTGTTGTGGTTTTTCTAGGCAAATTTCCCTGCAGTAGTTTGCCACAGTCGGCTTCTCTGTACCACTGTTGAAACTAATGCAAGGTGAAAGGCCCGCAGCTGGGATCGAACCCGGCACTCTGGCATTACAAAGCTAGTTCGCAACACCTAAGCCACAGACACCGACTTTACATATTATATTCAGTTTTAAAACCATAATCAGCATTTCTATTATATATAAAGCTGCATTGACAGCTTTACTGAAGCTAGTTCTCTTACTTTCTCAGAGAGACACGTTCAGACTTACCATTTTTTTTCAAATACTGTGAGAAAGGTTTGTCTTAAGTTTATCTTTACATTATAGATAAATGTTATCTTTTAAATGTTATTTGTTTACCTTTTCAGAAAAATACTGTCAGGCTTTGATTTTTAAACACCCATAGAAGGATTTGTCATTAATGTTCCTAATACAAAGATTTGACTTTAGTCATAATTCAGCAACATTTCTATTACTCCTTGTCCCCCATTTTTTCAGATGTTTGGTTGGAAGCATCACAGCGATTGTTTCCATTCTCTGATATTTTAATGAAGTTGACATTGCTTATATTATTATTTACCACCCAGCTGTGTCAGTTTTTCATATATAAATTGCTCTTTCCTCTGCCTGTTTTACCCAGTATTTTCTCAACATAAGGCTAATTTCTCTGTTCCACCACTTCTGTTGATGTGCTGCATAAATTGTAATCTATTCCTTATGGTTTTGGGAGTGACCTTTTAGCATGTTTACACTTGTTTGTGAGCATGTTTTCTTTTCTTTTCATGAAATTCTTGACATTCTTCTGTTTAAAAACAAAAACTTAGGTAAATCCAGTTCCAGTTTCTTGACTAAATGTTGAATCGACATCAAAGAACTTGGTACACCCCCATAAGCGCTCCGTCCCCATCTTCAGAAGCAAGCAAAGAGTTAAAATTCTGATGGTACCAATAACTGTCTAGTTTCTTGACCATTGCATTACTCATTGTAATGTTATGATTGAGGTAGGGGATTAAAGTTGAAACACAGAATCAGACTCGACAGTATTAAAGAGGGTAACCTAGTCATAGTACTGAGATGACATATAACATTGGTTAGATCAACCTGAAGAATACTCTGTATCCAAGGCAGAAAATAGTTGTGAGATGATTTATTCTATTGATACTATTGGTTAGGTCAACTTTACTTTTTTAGCATAAGGATAGCTATACTTTAACCAAGATTTATTGCATGAGAGAGAGACAGAAATAAAAGTAAAAAGAAATCTGTTAATAAAATAAGGACATAAACAGGAGGTGCCCAGTCAAGCTGGTGACAAGAAGTTCTAAATACAACATGAACTGTGACTGGTAATCTGGTAATCCTAGTTTCAGCTTCATAGCAAACGGGTCAAGCCATAATTGCTCCGCTCCTGTGCCAACGAAAAACACATGTAGCTCACAGTGTCAGGCCATGCACTCAACTCAGAAGCTGGGCGACGAAACTATATCCTTCCAGTCTACAAATGGAGCAAAAATGCAACGGCCACCGTCTGGCAGAAATTTAAAAAAAAAGGCGGCTGTGCCTAGCGTCCATTTGACCTGAAGCATTATATGAGGGTTAATAAATGGCCACCCCAGCAGTACCCTCATTATTAGCTGGGGAAGGGGCTTAGGACATTACATCCACCAGCAGGCGTTGCCCCTACCGACCTGCCTGTCTTCGTTAACGACTGTTCACCCAACAGCCATGCAGTTCTTTGGCACGAAGGAGACACCTTGAACTTGGGTTACGGACTGCCGACTCCCTACAAGATGTTATTTTATGTTTTGTTATCACACTTGATGTCACTGCACATTGGACATACCCATGCGTGCTCAGTTCTCCGAAGCAGCAGCCACTTCAAAGTACTTCTACTAATTGTCCCCATGAGAAGCTGGTTATATCGTCTCCTTTCTCGGCCCCGAAGACGGCAAAGAGGTGCATCATCATGACTACAAATACAACCAAATATTACAATGAAAGGCTTTATCAGTACAGTACTGAATACAGCACGGAATACAAAGTTGAGTTTTTCAGTCATAGTTTTTGTTGAATTTAATACTCCCTTGATGAAGACTTTGGTTGAAACGTTCAGTTGTAATGGTGCACTTCTTTTCCATTTCCTCCATTGAACTTTCTAGTCAATGCACTCAGCTGGCTCTGCACAGCTTGGTGGAATACTGCTGCATGCATGATAAGGCAGACGTGGTTAGTGCCTTGTGGGAGAGCGGGTACAGTTTGGAGGAGCAGATGAATCACCAGTCTGGTGAGACTGATGCAGGGGGGAGTGACGAGAGGTTCTGGCAGATGTTTGAGGCTCAGAGGAAAGGCAAGATGGATGTTTAATCAGAATGTTACTGGCACCATTAGTATCGGAACTCTTCACTGGCTGCTGAGGATGGGGTCGGAGCACTTATGCGAATGCCCCAAGTGCTGTGATGTCGGTTCTTGAATCAACTCAACTTTATAGTCACAATTTTATTTATATTTATTTAGTAAGTAAAACTAAAGGACCCCTTTTTCACACCATCGAGCTTTTGGGCATATAGGGCTAGACCTATATTTTGTAGACCTATTAACACTTGGTGGATGATGTGGTCAGCATCATGCTGGCCACCTTTTCTTCCCTGGTCTTTACCTGGTACCCATTTTAGGGTTGGTCAACCTGACAGCCAAGGTCTGTTTTGAAAAAAGTTAGGCTCTGCCAGGACCTGAACCCTTGACCTTTCAATTTGAACGCGAGTGTCTAGCCACTACATCACGGTAGCTGCCATGTTGTGTTTAGTCAATAAATTAATGAGCCAACTATTGTAATTAATAATTTGCATTACACTTGCAGCACAAAGTAAGGATAAACCCCCCTGCCCACGCAGGAGGGAGGTTAACAAAATCACATTCCACCATCAGTCGACATCGGTTCTCACTGATCAGCAGACCAGACCAGGGAGACCTGGGCGGCCTTATCCGCAGTCGGCTGCAGTCTCTAGATCTGGTTCAGAGTGACTACAGTAAGTGCATGTTGTAGATGTCTGTAGAATGTAGAACATATTATGTTTGTCGCACACAGGTCACAAAGATAAATCTCATAGAAAGGATTCTCATCACAGCCCTGTGTTACCAGTGCCAGACATGGTCACTCATAATAATGCATTCACAATAATGCACTCACAATAATGCATTCACAGTACTGCACTCACAATAATGCACTCACAGTAAGGCACTCACTATAAGGCACTCACAATAATGGACTCACAATAATGCACTCACAATAATGCACTCACAATAAGACACTCACAATAATGCACTCACAATAAGGCACTCACAATAATGCACTCACAATAATGCACTCACAATAGTGCACTCACAATAATGCACTCACAATAATGCACTCAGAATAATGCACTCACAATAAGGCACTCACAATAAAGCACTCAAGCTGTACAGACTAGGCTGGTGGTTGATGACAAATCTCTGACACTAACAAGATTGCATGGCCTGGAAGTAAAGTGTGGTGAAGCTTGTCTATGCCACCTTTGAGACCGAGAAAGTAGACATTATAACCAACTGATGGGAACAATCAGTAAGGATACATTGTAATGGCTGCTCTATCAGAGGACGTCAGGCATGGGATGTTTAACGTGCACCGACATTATTTATGATTACATAAAATAACTCACAGTAAACCAGAAAAGATGGTTAGTAAACATAGACAGGGACAAACAAATATCTGAGAAAGATGGCGGGAGTGGCCAGAAGAGATACAAATCAGGAAAGAAGTCATAAAAGAAAAAGCTGGCACAGAACCAGTACTAAATTTCATACAAAGACAGCCGAAGGAGTCAGGAGATGCAGGAGAGAGTCAGTGAACCACTTGGTTGAAATGGGTACTAAATGAGGACAAGCATGCAGAAACAAGTTGTGATGGGGCAGAGAAAGAAGCTATGCCATCAACTCGTACTGGGTTCTTTGCGCATGGAGACACAAAAATAGCTGCTGCATCGGAGAGCGGAACATAAATGGGTCGGACTGATGTCAATACGGACAGTAAGTAACAACTAGTAACAAGTATATGAAGACGGCCAATATAATGGTTTGCCTACTTAGAGAGAATGCCTTTGGACACCATACCTTACAAGTTATTACCAAAAAAAGGAGAGGGATGTAAAGCATGAGTTAGACAAAGAACATGATGAAATAATAACATCAGAGAAACTCTACAAAAATGTGATCTGTCCATGAGTGTGGCCAGAAAAGCAAGAAGCAGAACCTTATATCTCCCTTGATGCCCACAGAACCTCATATCTCCCTTGACACCCACATAACCTTATATCTCCTTGGACACCCACAGAACCTTATATCTCCCTGGACACCCAGAGAACCTTATATCTCCCTGGACACCCAGAGAACCTTATATCTCCCTTGACACCCAGAGAACCTTATATCTCCCTTGACACCCACAGAACCTTATATCTCCCTTGACACCCACAGAACCTTATATCTCCCTTGACACCCACAGAACCTTATATCTCCCTTGACACCCACAGAACCTTATATCTCCCTTGACACCCACAGAACCTTATATCTCCCTTGACACCCACAGAACCTTATATCTCCCTTGACACCCACAGAACCTTATATCTCCCTTGAAACCCACAGAACCTTATATCTCCCTGGACACCCACATTACCTTATATCTCCCTGGACACCCACAGAACCTTATATCTCCCTTGACACCCACAGAACCTTATATCTCCCTGGACACCCACAGAACCTTATATCTCCCTGGATACCCAGAGAACCTTATATCTCCCTTGACACCCAGAGAACCTTATATCTCCCTTGACACCCACAGAACCTTATATCTCCCTTGACACCCACAGAACCTTATATCTC